TGTTCTGTATATACATAAACATACACATTTACTTTGGTTAGTCTATAAGTAGGGACCACTGAAATTTGCACTGTAAGTGTGCTGTGTGGCAGCTCCTTTAATCTTGCAGTTTTTCCCATGTGCCCGTCCCACTGCTGATTGGTGGAAGGGACTCCATTGGCTTTGCTGTTTGCTCCTCACGGCCAGGAGGCAAAAACCAGTTTTAAGTATGCCACATTTTTTGCTTCCCATCCTGTCAGCAGCAAGCGGTGGTGTCCCTCCACAAATCAGCAGTGGGAAGCAAAAAACGCAGCATATTTAAAAGCATGGTTTTCTCCTCCTCGGCAATAAGGGATAAACGGCAAGTGGCAGGACCCTCTGCCAATCAGCAGCGGGGGTGCAAGCGGGGCAAACTGCAAGATTAAAAGAACCACTGCGCAGTGCACTTTGACACAAAACCCAGTGGTCCCTATCTATAAGGCCTTTGGCAGCTGCTATTCAGCTAAAGGTGCCGTGGAATCTGATGCATAACCCCAGCAATTGTGCTTCTTGCTATGCTACACATATGTAGCTGGAGGCACAATTGTGGGACCAGGGATCAGATCCTCATTGCGCTATGTTGCTGGTGCAGAGGGAGCTTGAGATGAACTGTCTGCACCAGCAATTAGGAAGCCAATCAGCTAATCCCTGCTCTCAGCCTTGGGAGCGCATCGGAGTCGAGGGCTTAAATACACCCCTCCAAGGCTGGGAGCCCAATCAGTTGTAACTCCCAGCATCTGGGATACAGTCAACTTACAGGTTCTGCTGAGTCCCAGAGGCTGACACTACAGATTAGCAGCTGCTCCCAGGTACGTGGCACATCAGAGCCCTTGTCTCCACTGTAGGATCAGCTGGGAGTGGCACCTGGTCAGGGCTTCCAGGCTCTGGGGTTCAGGCTGTGCCTCAACTGCACCCCAGAGCAGGGAGCCCCAACCAGCTGCCCCTCATGGCCAGGAGGTGTAGCAGAGTCAACGGTTCTGCTGTGCCCCGGTAGCTGAGAGCAGTAGCTGATTGGGGCCCCAGCCTCAGAGCCCTTTACTCCAATGTGCCCTGGAGGCTGGGAGCAGCTGATTGGGGCTCCCACCCTGGGGAGCACTTGGGAGTCAAGGGCTCCCATGCAGTCTGGAGGCTGGGAGCCCCAATTAGACTGACCACATATGCAGTTTAAGACATGATGGGAACCAGCCACAAAGTTATTACACTTTTTTGGTGGTTTATTCCTTGTTTTCTCATGCCATTAATTTCATTAATGTGTGGGCAGGTCACTACTTAAGAGGTGATTAACTAGTTAATCACGTCTTAAATGTAACATCTGCCAGGGGCCTAAAGTGCAAATTTATTCTGCCTTTATTTGACTTCAGACTAACATAACTAAGTACACCTCAGTATCAATTGCTCTTATTTCAGCTCCTGACTCCTCTCCACCTGAGCCAGGCTCCAACACTGAGTCCTCAGGTTCTCTCTGCCCTGCACTGCAGCAACAAAGCACCTGCAAATGCACCAGGACAACTCCAAGATCTGCCATACTGATAAAGTAGTTTTTCATGAGTTACTGGGGATGAGCTCTGCCCTGTTTCCTGCCAGTCAGCCCATCCTCAGTGTAAAGTAGAACGGGTGTTCAGACTTTCAGCACATGGGTTCTCCCAGAGGTGAATGAGAACTGAAATAGCCTATCAATCTACTTCTCCAAGCATTAGTCCCCACTGTAAAGCAAGTGAAAAAATCCCAATAATTGAGCAAAGGAAGGAAACAGGTATCAGGTGCATTTAACCAGGATGAAGCTTAACAGAAAAACCACAGTGCCAAACCTGTGGCTTTCTTTCTGTATCCATGTTTTCATTCAATTACATTTTGACCAAGATGCCTTTGTAAGGCTCTTCCTAATGTAAAATAATTATTAAACTCCATCTCTCTTTCAGTGCATGAAAATCATTAAGGTTCCCCTGAGTGAGTCTGTGGTACCATTTTAGCTAAAGATTAACCTTTAGCCCTCCTTCCCCTTCGTGTATTTGGCTTAAAAGGGCAAGCCAGAAGTGGAAGCAGCAAAGATGAATGATTCATTCCCTAAATCTACAGCCTAGGCTTTTCGGAGTCAATTGACAGAGTTCGGCGCCAACAGGCCAGGAGAGAAAACTTGCTAGGGTTAGGATCCAGAGAGGATTTCTGTCTTGTGATCAGGCTGAATTCAGGATGCTTACAAGCTTCATCATGTTGCGTTCAGTGAGGCCACCAATGATTGCACAGTACAGACTGCAACTACTGACTTTTCCGTGTATTCAGCTTCATGCTCTTCTTTGTCCCAGGGAATCTATAACCAGAGAGATCGTAGAGTTTCTATGTACTGAGATCTAATGTTTAGAGCAAGGTATTGACAGATAAGATTCCAACAGTCTATTCCTGGCTCTGCTGTCAACTCATTGTGTGACCTGAGATAAATCACTTATCACATTTGTGCCTCCGTTGCCCTGCCTAGAAAATGATGGCGATGATGCTTCCCTCACAGTAGTTTTGTGAGGCTTCATCCATTCACTGAAGCACATTAAGATATTTGGATAAAAAGCAATTTTTAAAACTAAGATATGAGTAATATTCATATTAAATAATAAGTGCTTTCCAGTGATTTTACTCCTGGCTGAAAAAAAGATGAAGGGGAATGAAAACTGTGTGCATTAGTTGCATTTCATACAGGCCTGATACCCTAAAGCTGTTTGAGCACAGTCTGCACAGCGATAGCTGGAAACGTGACCGTGTGATTCCTTGGTGTCTCGGGCAGTCTGCCTCTCCGAACATTAATCTAGTGAGTACTCAGCAAGGACAGCTGAGACCTCGCGGCAACAGCATGCCCCACCTCATGGTGTGCAACAGACAGATCAGCTGGACTCTTACACTGGTGCTGGGGTATCTCTTTTACCTCCTTCTGGGTGCTATGGTGTTCCAGCTGCTGGAGAAACAGGCAGAGGCCCAGTCTCGGGATCAATTCCAGCTAGAGAAGCTCAAGTTTCTGGAGAACTACACATGCTTGGATAAGCAAGCCCTGGAGCAGTTTGTGCAGGTAAGAGGTACAATCTGCCCTGATACCGGCAATCCCCAGTCCCACGAGGTCATGGACTGGTTTGGGCTGAAGAGAGTTGTATATTTTTACTATGAGTTTGTACATTGATTTAATCCTGTGACACTAAAAAAATTGGGTGTACTAGCAAAAGGCAGATGTTCTGCAAAGTCCCTCTGTGCAGCTCTACCATTTTGCTTTGAACCTCACCTGGACTCCCCAAACTTGCAGCTCTTTGAATGCACCTCAGGGCTGCCTTATAATAGGTTCTAACCACCCCCCCCCCCCCCTTGT